AGGATCGCAGTGGAGATGTACGGAAAAAGGCACAGGCTGTAGTACCATGTATGATGGCGCATTTAGGATTTGACACTATGAACAAACAAGCCAATAAACTTAAGGTAAAGTCTACTACGTAGGGTAGGGTAGGGAATGTAATTGTACATGCCCTAGGGGACCATAGTGAAGATGTATAAAAAAAAACCTTAGGCCGCTGTACCATGTATAAAATGGCGCATTTAGGATTTGATACAATGAGAAAACAAGCCAATAAACCTACATTGTATTGTAATAGTATGCTGTGTGGGGTAAGGTAGGGAATGTTTTGGTTTATGCCATAGGGGACCCTATTAGGGATGTACATAAAAACTAAGCACAGGCATTTGTACCTATTAGATGGGTATTGACTGTATACACCTAATTGAAGAAACGTTGTCGGATCCAAGAAGGTCAAATCATAGAAGCTAAGACCGAAAGAGTACTTGGGAAGACAAACAATTTGGCTAATTTCATAACAAACAGCTCTCCAGCATAAAAGACTATCATGCTGTTAATCTTACTAGCTCTACTTGCTTAGTGTACACCGTATATGCAAATGTAATCCTAATTTAGTGGTACTCAAAATCCCTTTCGGTCTTAGCTTCTATGATGTGACCTTTTCGAACACGACTACTTTTTTTCAATTAGGTGTAAATAAGGAGAAATATTTGCTTTACCAAATATTATATTGCAACGAGATTACACCCTGAATCTCAACTTTATTATCTTGATTTTTCACATAATAGTGTTCATTGTTTATATGTTTATTTTGTATTTATTCTCTAGCCCGCTTCAAAGCCCACTGTCCAAGCCTTACTGGAGAAACTACGAGGCACTGTACCCGAACCTACTAAAGGCTCTAAGTCTAAAAAGACTGCACCTAAAAGTGAACCAGTTCCAGACAGTAGCGGAGGAGGAGGAGGTGGGAGTGGAGGAGGTGCTACCAAAAGACCCAAGACTGCTGGATCAAGCAAACCAGCTGCTAAAACAGTAAGACAATCTTATTATCGATATGGATATTTGTAGTAGATGTATTTTAGAAAAGTCTAAAGTTTCTGATTGGTCGGTTTAGGATATTTTTTTATCCTGCTTCATTGCGGAAAGCTTGGGAAGTTTTGAAGAGCTATTTTAATCTACCTCTCAATAGCTGGAATCGCCGGTAGATATAATCCAATTGCTCGTTTTCAATCATCCTCATGAGATTCAAAAGATAAAAGACCGCCGGCCNGGCCGTTTGGCGTGCGCATGCGCCAGTCTGTTGAAAATTCATTGAAATTCATTAGTGATTCACTTCAAGCGAGAAATTACAACGACACGAAGGACAATTTCCAAAAATGTTTTTGGCTGTTTTTGACCCTGAAATGTTCTGTCATGACTCAAGAACACTCATAAATAGTGTAACCTACAACGAGGAAAAACACTGGCGTTATTGGACTGATTGGGACCGTTTAAAATCTTATTTAAGAAATGTTGATATTAATGACTTTGTGTTTACAATATGGAGGCTTCAGTGGTTTATATACGCAACTACTATTCCAGTTTTTGCTGAGTGATGGTCAAGATTCAACGCAGGTTATGAAGTAAATGGTAAATGTACACATGTAGTAATATAATTAGGCATCGTTTAGTAACATCGACCTCGAAATGTTCGAAAGACAGTTTCTTGAAGTGTACAATATTTACGCTTAAATATTATTAACTGTTACATGAAATACTACTTTCCTTTTATATACCACCAGGACTCATTAGAATAAGGCTACCAATATCAAGACTTATGCTTTGCAAATGGTTTGATAATGTTTTCTTGTCTATGAAAAATGTGGAACGGTGTTAATTCTGCAAATTCTTACGTGCTGTTGAGCACTCACGACAGATTTAGCGCTCTTTTGGCTGAAGAGTTGAGCTTGTTTGAATCAAGTTATCATAAATATCTATGTGTAGTTCTATAGCTGTATCATTATAAGTTATGAAATAAACTATTGCAGTGCAATCGATTCACATCTTAGGAATTTATTATTGCTAAAAGTGTGCACAAATAATTCACTACATTTTAACGGTACAAAGTGGCTTCGTGTTATAAATCTAGCCCGTGACTCACAGTAATTTATATAATGTTTGAAAGATATCCGTGTGCATTGTAAATATATCTACTTGGTTTTGTTTGGAAAAATGTGGAAGATAAGTAAAAACTTCAATTATGTTCAGAATCCAAGCTTCCACAGCTGACTACAATGTTATTCTACCCGTATTCTAGAGCCCATGGTCGTTATAACGCAGCGGTTGCGCGCATGCTCATGCATAACGGCCCCTTGTTGTCATAGTCAGAGAATCCGTTCCGAGAGAGGTGAAGATCTACCCCGGATAGCTGTCAAAATTAAATAATGATGTTGCGCGCAAAGCATTCGGGGTATTACTAAACCTTTAAGTTTGTATGATGTGCTTTTCTTGCTTTGTTTGTCAGACTAAGAAGAAAGCCGCACAGGCAGCAGACGAGGAGTCCGGCCCTGCTTTGATACGTAATCTTGGTAAAGACAATAGAATAAGGGATGAGAAAGAACTCAAGGTAACKTACTGCAGATCTCACTGAATTACAAACGACTTTCAAAAATGCGATGTGTCATGGTCACCGACCAGGGGACTGGGGACGAAGCACTAAAACGAGGTCGCAAAGGCCAGCATCCGTATAGTAAACTTTGATGGTGTCTTGCAAGAGTGTTTTCTTATAAATAACATACCAATACATCTGTCAAACGTTTGGACACTACCTACATGCGATCTTCGTAGTGATTTCAATGGTCTGTGTTAGCCTCATTTGTGCGCAAATTATTCCTATTTTGAGCGTAAAAGTGTAAGATTTCAAATCAAATTTATTGTCTTTCTTCATAAATTCTATGTGTTTTCTCGGGCTGTCAATAAAACAAAAGAATATATTGCTTGGTTTTGAGGCTAACACAGAGCAAAGCAGAACTCGAAATCGGAGTATTGGCGGTCTTGAACTACCGCCATGAAAAAACCGTGTATGAACAKGTTTTTGAAAACTTGCGACTATAAGAAACGCATACTTCGTATCCTAACCAACCCACATTGTACACCACACAAAATTCATAACATCCAATTTTTTTAAGTTACACCGCGCTTTTTTAAGGCAAAATTTCAAATAGAATTATTTTATTTTAGACCATGAAATGGAACTTCACAACACCAAGAGAAGAATATATCGAACAACTAAAGGAGCAAATGAGACCTTGTTTCTCTAAGTCAATCATGACAAGTCTGTTTCATCCTCATGACTTCAAACACCAAGTGAACGCTATGAACACGCTACAACAGGTGAAATGACTTGAAAATAGATTAAAGGGAAAGGTCCAGCATCCCTTTCCAGTAATGCAGTACCAATTGAAACCTGCTTTTTGATTGCTCCTTAAGTACAGCACCACTATTGTTAGGTTAGGTTTTGTTATATTGTTGGAAGACTATTGTTTGTTCATTGTTTTCTCAACCTATCATGAGACCCGTTCCGAGCGGTGCTACCTGGCTCTCCCTTTCGAGCTTTTGCTCATGTTTGAAAATAAAAATACATCGTAATATAAGCGAAAACGTACTCTTTATTATCCCTTTATACTATATGGATAGARATACTGTAAGATTCGACCTTTAAACMRAYGSATGGAAACGGRTTGCGAATGGATATTCGAAGTCACCTCATTTTCCAAAAATCTAAAACAAAACGAATTTCTGAAATCCTGACAAATATTACGCAGACTATTAGACATTTCCAATTGAGATTCCTACCAATTACAAATAAGGGGAAAGCGATCGTTCAAAATGACGCATTACCAACACCTATCTAATAACTATTGTCGTTCAACTAGGGCGTGACACCAGTTGATGATGAAGATCCACCGCTCAAAGAGGAAGCCATTCAGTCATTGGACCTTCTACTCAAATATGTGACTCTAAGGTTCTTTGATACCAATACTACGGTACTGGTTAAGTGCCTGGAATTCCTGGACGCTTTGTTTACCATGCTAGCTGAGTCAGGTTATCAAATGGTGGAGCATGAAGCATCGAGCTTTATTCCTTACCTTGTTCAAAAGGTAACTTGAAATTTTAAATAACTAATCGTTTTATTACTTGCAATTAAAGCTTTATGGTTTGATGATAAAAAGAGTTGCACTAATAATATTTATAGAATCTCAACCAACCACAATAAAGCGCGCGCTCGTGTTATTATTTACATACATTTAAATACGTCAAACATACAATAAATTATAGATTGATAGTACTTGTGAGGCCGGTACTTAGTTAAAAGGTAATTTTGTCCAAACTCACTTTAAAAAATCCTACAAATCCACCATTTTCGTGTCCAACTAAAATGGTGCTTCGGCTCACAAGGTACAGTGGTTAGTTGTGATTTAAATCTCTAATCACTGTATAGATTTAGGTCATTAAACCCATGCAGCAAATTTGACTACTTAAGTGGTAGTCAGTTATCAAACGCACAAAACAAAAAACAAAAGGGCGTATTATTCGTGTGAGATCTATGTCAAAGTTTT